ACTTTGAGATTTCTTTGAAATATAAGGTGCGTTACAAATAAAATTTATTATTATTATTATTATTATTGTTTGATGCAAACATTTCCTACAGCTTCAGCGAGTATAAAAGTGTTTCATGTCTGCTCTCAGTTTCTGGGACTACCTGAGCCTCTGCAGGGAGTCTCAGTTTGAGTCATTATGTAAATTCATTCTTTTTAATGCAGATTTTACATTTTGAATGAATGGAGTGACGAGCTAAAACAGCTTCATTTCAAGCATCACTTGTGTAGTTTTAAGTCCTGGACAGCAGCTGAAGTTCTGCTCAAAGCCCTTTAAAACACATCTGCAGACTTCTGCACACCTGGATCTGCGGTTGTGGTTTGATGCTTTCACTTAAGACAGCTCAAACCACACAGAGCAAAAAAAAGAAAAAAAAAAAGAGCAGAGGCACAGTTACAATGTGGAGCTGCTCACTGTTCACACGTTTACAAGACCTGTTCTGATTATTTATCTCAATCTAATGAGGGCGAATCGATCCGAGGGTCGGGAAGTGTCCCGCAGGGCCGAACCCGAGCTTCTGAAGCCTTCCTGCACAAACAGGCCTCACGCTCCGTTAGCTCCGAGCTGAAAACAGGAAATCAGAACAATTCCCTCACACCTTACCCACTTCCCTCACCTGTACTGTGCAGGGGACAAACACAGTGAGCTGCAGGCTGACAGAAACCCACAGACACTCAAACCCACCGACTTCTCAGCAGAACTGTTCTCACSTCAAMCAGCCTGAAAAACACAAAAACAGCTTTGATTCTGAAGGTTTTCARTCCAACCTGCAGCTCATCACCACCTGATGCCAACSTTACCCACAATGCACTGCAGCAAACAGCTCAGAGCAGCCCCCAGCACAGAGGTGGAGGTCTGATGGTGTGGGCTCGACTGGAACACCAAGTCCTGCAGAACCACCAAGTCCTGCAGAAACATGAAGTCCTGCAGTACCACCAAGTCCTGCAGAACCACCAAGTCCTGCAGAACCACCAAGTCCTGCAGAACCACCAAGTCCTGCAGAACCACCAAGTCCTGCAGAAACATGAAGTCCTGCAGAACCACCAAGTCCTGCAGAACCACCAAGTCTGCAGAACCACCAAGTCCTGCAGAATCACCAAGTCCTGCAGAACCACCAAGTCCTGCTGAACCACCAAGTCCTGCAGAACCACCAAGTCCTGCAGAACCACCAAATCCTGCAGAACCACCAAGTCCTGCAGAACCGCCAAGTCCTGCAGAAACATGAAGTCCTGCAGAACCACCAAGTCCTGCAGAACCACAAAATCCTGCAGAACCACCATGTCCTGCGGAACCACCAAATCCTGCAGAAACACCAAGTCCTGCAGAACCACCAAGTCCTGCAGAACCACAAAATCCTGCAGAACCATGTAACTGAAACATACAGCATATGCAACTTGTACTTAGACGGTTTCTACCTTGTACTTATAGGGTATGTACCAGGTACTTATACCATTTGTACTTATAGGGTATGTACCAGGTACTTATAGCATTTGTACTTATAGGGTATGTACCAGGTACTTATAGCATTTGTACTTATAGGGTATGTACCAGGTACTTATAGCATTTGTACTTATAGGGTATGTACCAGGTACTTATAGCATTTTTACTTATAGGGTATGTAACAGGTACTTTTAGCATATTTACCTTGTACTTCTAGGGTATGTACCAGGTACTTATACCATTTGTACTTATAGGGTATGTACCAGGTACTTATAGCAGTTGGACTTCTAGGGTATGTACCAGGTACTTATAGCATTTGTACTTATAGGGTATGTACCAGGTACTTATAGCATATGTAGCTTGTACTTATAGGGTATGTACCA